CGGAGGGGCGGGGCCTCGGCCGAGCCCTGCACACCATAGCTCTCTCCCCCCCGGTCCAGTACAGAAGGGCTTAAACGTTAAAAAACCCCAAAGTAATAAAAAATCAAAGGGGTTAAAATTCTTCGTGTGCCACAGCACGGCAGGAAAGGGTGCGCTAGCCCCTGAAGCAGGGCGAGAAACATAATAAACCGTCCCTCTCTTGAGACTCCTGTGGAAACACCCACCCAAGTGCATGCACGGACTAATAATCCTGATCATTTAACGAAGTAAAACGATAGAGCCTGAAGAATTCAAAGGGGGAAGAATAATCCAAGTTCAGCACAAAAAGAGAGGGGAAAAGCAATTTTTTCCTTGTCGAGATACTGAGTGTAAGAGCCAACCAGAACTAACCGCGGTTTGTAAAGGAGGATTTGTGCTCTGTGGTTTCAGGTACTGCACCTGCTTTAGCCCGGGTTTTTTTCTGGCTTGTTCAGCTTTATTTGCAGTCATTGTTGTTGTATTTTGTCAGGTCCCTCCTAGTACTACTCAGAAGACAAAGCGTTAAAACCAAGAAAGCATCGCTGTGAACTGACAGGAGGTGGCGGACTCCCTTGGCAAGTGCACTTGCGGAGACTAACGCGCTTTTAAACTCAGGCGTCAAATTGAAGGTCTCTGAAGTTTATTAGTTGTCAAGAACTTTGCTGGTTAAGAGAGGAACATTGAGCTTGAGAGTGCCTCCCTACGTTTGTGCTGTCTGCCACTTCCGTGACACGCACCAAGACTTACCCTGCTGGCAATCAGCAGAGGCTGATTATTACCGTTTCTTTTAATATTGGTATTATTACCGTAACGGGGCCACCGTATACTCGGGATACTTCCTCGCAATCTTGTGATGCTGCTGTTCCACTTTTTAGAGCAGAATCTGCTATTACAGAAAGAAGCAACTGGCGTCAGCTTTTAAACAACCAAAAGGTGACAGAAGAGAGAAGAGCAGCCTGCAGAACCCGCTGCTTGAACGGCTCTGTCAGTGGCTCACACAGACATCACCTTATTTAATGCTGCAGAAAACAAAGGTGGGATTAAAAGGCCTTTGATGACTCATCTGCAATGCCATTAAAGAGTACCGGATCTTACAACCAAGTTCCGCCCTTAAACATAAAAGTCTCTCCCCGACTTCAGCAGCATCTGGCTGTACTTGTTCCACCTCCAGCAGAAACCGTGGCACATCCAGCCCCGGCAAGGGCTGGACTGCGGACGTCGGGATGAAGGTAAGACCACACTCAGCAAGTCCCCGGTGAAAAGACACTAAGAGCCTGGCAGCAGCCACAGTTTGGCAGGATCAACGCTACAACCAAGAACTACTTGTTACAGCTGTAGGGGAACAGAGGGGGCGACACATCTGTTATGTGGAGGTGTTTCTCTCACCTCTCAGACACACAACTAACTGGGACCAGCACCACGCACGGGCTGGCAGCACGAGAGGCAAATCTCAAATTCTGAGACAGGCAGAGTGAAGTCAACCAACCCCTTCATTCCTCCTCCCCCTAAGAGCAGCCTCTTGCTTCGTCACTCCATTGCCAGTTTTCACCTGGTAAGAAACACAGACTGTAGCTTAAGATTTTGATCCAGCAAGAGTGTGCAAAGAATCGTCCTTGCCCTTCCCAAACAGGATAAGCAGGATTTAAACTTACAAAGTATTAGCGAACCATTACTCCTTATTCAATATGAACATGCCGATCAGGTTTGAACTGGATCAAAAGCCAGTACAAGCTTTTTTTTTTTCCTTCCCCACCTCACATCCATGTTGTAGCTCAAATCACATTTGGTTCTTATCTCGGCCGCCGGCAGCACAGCAACCTGACACTTCCAAACTCCACATTTGGTTGGGCTTAAACTAACTAAAGGTGGGAAGTGGCAGCAGCCACCCTGAACATGCAGTATTGACACTCACATTGAACAAGGCCACAGAACAACCACTCAGTCCCCCAAAAATCAGAATAAGCTTCCCTAAAATAAAAAAAAAACCTGAACAACTTAAATAACAACAGATTAAAAACATAGGTTAGGTGTCAAAATTGCCATCAGCTAATTACAAACAGCCAACTCAACTCCTGACTTGCCTATGAGCCAGTTTGCTGTTTGAAGGATGAGAGATAGGAAACATTTTCCAAGAACATACAAAAAAGGTATGTACAGATCTATTCAAAACGCAGTAAATAAGGTCTTCAGTGGTTCCAGGTTACTCTCGTTTCACATCTTCTAGAAATAAATGTGGGCGATTGGAGAAATTTACTTGTCTATTCTATTCTTCCAGCTTCCCACAGTACAACTGCAATCAGCACACAACCCACCAGAGGGCTCTGCTGCAGTGTTAGACTCCCCTCCTTGGAAGTTTGGCAAAGATTAAAATAATTTAAAGAATAAACTGGCTTTTTACTTCAGCCAGTAAGTCTTTAATTTAAAAAAAATGGAATTAAGAGCTTGCCAGGATATGCTCACACACCTGGCTGCTCTTAAATGAACTGTCACAGGCAAACAGCACTGCCAAAGGTGACATTTTGATGGTTTGAAGCAGAAACAGCAGCAGAGCATTGTATGACAATCAAATCTAAAGAGGTGAATTGCAGTTGCTCTTGCTTCTGCCTTGTACTGTGAAACCAGCTAGAGAGAAAAGAGGCGGCAGCTGCCTCTCCTCCCGAGCTTTCAACTGTGACGGTCCGAATTCAGAGGGTTCAAAAGAAGGTTTCTCTCCCACCAGCTGCCTCTACCAGTGCCTCGAATCCACCAGCTCCGGGCGGAGGCTCAGCTTCTTCAGAGTTTCATACCCCACCACGATGACGATGGTGGAAGGAGTGGCCGAGATGATGCGGGCGGAGAGGCCTTTAGTCAGGCCCCAGGGACCTTCCTCTGCCATGAGCTGTTTGAAGGTGAGGATGATGGAGCTCTTGCCTTCCACCTGCAAAGGCAGAACAAATATTCACAGAGCTGCCAGACTTCACACTGAGCTGCTCTGGGGTTCTGTAGACCCTAGAGACTACAGACCAGACAGTCCAATACCCTTGATCTAGTCTCCAGAACTCCCTGAGGGGGCGAAAAGAAAAAGCAAAAAGTCTTAAAGAGGCAGCAGTAAGTGGGATTCTTAGACCTGTCTCCTCCTTCCTCCCTTCTGCCCTGTCTAGAAGGGGCTGGATCAACACGACAGCTCGAGTCTCACTAAAACTGACACTGCTAGAAGCAGCTTGCCTTTTCTGAAGGATGCCACATCTGCTGGGGAATCTCATTTGAGTGGTCCAGGTAGGCGAAGCCAACCTTGCTACCTGAGCTGCCCCCTATTAATGCCGAGAGTAAATTAAGCAGCATGATATCTAGAACAAACCAACCTACGAACAGAGAGAGAAGGGGAGCCGTTTACCTGAAGCCACAGAGATCAAAGAGCCGAGGCTGAACCCCACCCCTGCGTCACGCTGTTGTTGCAGACAGACATGCCAAGCAGGCTGAGCTCTTACCTGAACCCGAGCTCTGATGACATCCATGGGGTTGGTGAGGGTGGAAGCTGTGGCGGCTGCAAGTGGCCCCGATATAGCTTGCAGGAGGAGATGGGGACAGTCTTTAGGAGTCAAGCTGGAAAGCTGTTCTGAGAACGGGAGAGAAAGAGAGAAGAGTTTCAGACAAGTGGTTACTTATCAGTTCCTTAACTCTACCTGCTAATTTAGCCTGATTTGCAGTGGGCAGAATCCCTGATTTACAACCTGTCACCTCCTCCCACAGCACGTCTAAGCGGTGCTTTCTACATCAACCAGAAAGTCAGCAAAGCGCAGGGAGCGAGCCCGTAAACATCCCGGCAACTCAATGCTCCGCCATACAGCCTCCGATCAGCTCAGAGGCGCTCAGACCTGATGGGCAAACAGGGTAGAATAAGCTTGTATGTCACAGAACGGTCAGGGTTGGAAGGGACCTCTGGAGATCATCTAGTCCAACCCCCCTGCCAGAGCAGGGTCACCTACAACAGGTTGTCCCCAAAACAGAGCACGGGAACATTCACCCCCCTGTAAAAGGCACGGGGGACACCTTTAGACAAGGTTATCAGAAATTGCCTGCAGAGATTCACCCAGATCTAGAAAGCTGTCACTACCACCAAGCACATTGTCCGAGAGATATCCCCGTGGCAGCCCGCTGTGGGATCTCTAAGGTGAAAAGCGTTACGTGCTGCTCATCCCAGGGATTTCCTCATTCTGCTCCTACTGCCTGGCAAACGGGATTTGAATCTCCCACCCTTTTATCGGTTAAAGCTGTACGGAAGACAGTCCAAAAGTCCCAGTTTCTTTGGGCTATGTGGTGGTCATGTCTATCTGGCAAGAGGGAAGGAAGCTGCTCCGTTCACAACCCAGAACACCGATCTGAATCACTGCCAGCGGTGTACTTTGAGCCCTGAGGAAGGTTCAGTGATCCCTGCTGCTGCCAGCTGAGACCAGCACACTATCCAGGGACAGAGGACTAGAAAAGGCAGCCAAAGTAGAGATGTATTAACAGCCAGGGCTTCCATTTAGCATTATCTTGATTGCCACTCCGGAAGACTAGGAAAGAAAGCAAACATCTGAAAGAGGCAAGCTCCGTTCTCTCCATATTGATGTCCACTTTCAAACCTTTTTGGCACCAAAGTCTTACAATTAATACAGTGGATTTTGGTATTAAAAAATCATTGACATGGAGTGAAGGGAGCGCTCCCAAAAAGTTCAGCCTGGACCAACATCCCAAGCTGTTGTTGCCATTTAAACGTAGTACTGACGCATAACCAATGCTCCCCATTGTTACCAGAATGCATCCACTCTGAAAGCAAACTAGACATTCAAGACACCTGTATTATTTCCAAGATATACTTTAAGCGTAGTACAGTGAAATCTAAGCCTCTCATTGTCATCACTTTTAGGCAGATTGCCATTAGGTAAATATTAGCCTAAAAACCACATGCAAAGCTGCATGACAGAAATCTAAAGGATTATCAGGAAGGGGAAAAATAAATCTTAGCTGGCTGATATCTTTAGTATTTGGGAACACCCTGAGGATTACCAGAGCTGAGCCAGGGAGAGAGACCATACTGTTAAGTGTGGTTTTATGTCACAAGACTTGGTGCCAGTTTTAAAACTACGGAAACTGAAGCATAATCTTAAGACACAAAACCACAGAAGATCGGGCCTTTCCCTCCGCCTGTAGTTTGGTTTTTGCTATGAGATTTGTGGCTCTAGAAGTCTTTTTGCCATGTAAGAGACTCCCGAATCCATGCGAACTGAAAGATGAATTATACTTACACGTTGGCTTCAAAACTCTGCCCAATGTCAGACAACAACCTTCCTCATTTCCATGCAGAAAGTAAGCATTATTTGGGATTAGTGAAAGAGAAAGTTAAAGTAGACATATCAAGCCCCTCTTGTCTAGAGCCACCTAGTTTTAAGTCCTCTATTAAGGCACCTATTCTTTAACTCTGCATTTAAAACAAACTGTTAAACTTCTATCCAACACCTGCAGAATTCGTTTAAATTGGACACAGCTATTTGTTTCAAGACAGGTTCTGCTCCCACCCCAAATCACAGAGAGAAAGCAAATCATGCTGGGTCCACAGGTTCAGAGTCAAGCTGAAGGGCTTCTAGGTCTCCTGGGATAAGATACATTCAAAGTCTCTTTTCACTTACCAGCGTAGAAGTGGTAGAAGGGCCACCAGACTGCACTGTTGGGAATATAGGTGAGCAGCGAGGCCACATAGCCCCTGTAGAACCCCCTAAAGCCATCGGCCTTGAAAATCTGTACAATGATGTCCTTGGTTTGGCCAAAGACCAACATCCGCTTGCCGTCTTGGTTCTGTACCTTAAATCTGCCCATGCTTTCCCCCTTCCTCTGCATCATGAGATGCTGGGAGATGACATCAATGGGCACCGTGATGCTCTGGGCCACCAGGGAGGCTGAGCCACCTGCCACCAGTGACTTCACAGCGTTGTTGTTGTTGTACCGTGACACGTACTTTCGAGTGAGCTCATATGTTGTCACATAGCACTGTCCGGAGATCAGGGTGAAGGTGTTGACCAAAAAGCCACGGTAGAGCCCGGCTGTCCCTTCTGTCCGCAGGATTTTCACAAAAGCATCAAAAGTCCCGTTGTATAGGCTCTTGCCCTTCTGAACCTGTAACCGTGTTCGGATAAGCGTGAATGGGTAAACGCTCACCCGGATCATCATAGTCATGCAAATCCCAAACACGTAGAATTTCCTTTTGTCCAGGTGCTCCCACTCAATGATGGGGATGTTGCGTTTGTCCTCCATGACTCCTCAGAGCCGGGCAGGAGAGGTGGTATGCCCCAGGTCTACCTCAAAAGTACAGAGCAGGTCCAGGTTCAGCTCTCCTATCTTAACTGCCTAGGTTGGAAGTGCTGGCATCTGAAACGAGAGACACTTTCAGTAGATGATGAAGCACCCGAGCTAGCTAAAGTAGCCTACGGCACCTCTAACTGTGCTGATTTTCCTGAAGTGCACAGAGAGCCCTTGCATAAACCATCCCGCTGGCAGAGCGGTGGGACTGTGACCTCAGGAAGCGGGGCCGTATCACCTGGTTGATGGCGGCACCTTCTGATGTCACCGCAGCTATTCGTTAAACTCTAACAGCAGTCTGCACACACGGCAGCTCTCACTATGGTCCAGATTACTCCGCTGCAAAGCAAAGCTTGCCAGACTTCGCAAAGCAGTTAGAGATCCAGAGGAAGAGTGCGGCTCCAACAGCGAGCGCTACCTTTTAACGGACAGGCAGGAATATGGATTGTCAACCAAAGCAGCTTCTTCCCAGTCATTCCAGGTTTACGATGCTCCTAGATGTCAGGATGGCAGTTTTCAGTTCCAGGCTCTGTACAAAGAAGGAAGCGACAAGTTTCCATTTGTGTACCCAAATTCTCTGCACAAATTAAACACGTTTTTCTGGGTATTTCCACTTTAACCTCCCTAAAGCTGGAGGGTGATGCAAGCCAGGGAAGGGGGAAGAGATGGTTGTGAAAACAGGAGCAACAATGGGGGAACAAGGGAAATACAAACAGCCATGTAGTCTCCATGTCGATGACCAAGACCCTGGAAATAAAGGGTTAAAAATCACAGCCCGGGGATCTCTCAGTTGAGCAGTGCCTAACTGCGCTTTCCAGCTAAGGAGAGCAAAGTTCACCCTCACTTCCAATACTGCATCATCGCTTCTTGTATGATAACACTCACAAACCTGCCATCCTTCCCATGTCGGCAGCATTCAGAGCACCAGGAACTGAGGGACAAGGAAGGGAGGTCCCGATTCAGCCTCCTCCAGCACACCCTTCCCCAGCCCAGCTCCTGCCCCTGAAGCACTATCACTGACTGCATCTCATCCCGCAGGCAGCCATGTCCCAGCAGTCACCAACAGCAGCTTGCACAGGACAAGACTCTCAGTAGTTCCACCCATCTCCTTTTTGGCTGTAATTTGCTCTAATTTGGTGCATGATCAAACAAGCTTGGAACAAGCAAACCTCCTTGCCGGGCCAGGCATATACAAGCAAAAAGAGAAGTATAAACCCAACACGAAACCAATTATTTCACTGACCACAAGGACTTTCTTTCCCTGTCAAAAAAAAAACCCAACAGGTCTTGAGGAATAACAGATTGCTAAAATTATTAGAAAGCGCTTGACTGCAGCTGCGTCATAGCTTATATACTCTGGCAAACGGGTACGTGAAGTCTGCGCACAGGCACAACCTGAACTGTGGGAGAGCAGAGCAACACCAAGTAGTTCCACTTGCAAATGCAGAAATTGAAACAAGTGTGCCAAAACCAGAGATCTGAAAACAGATTCACTTTGAATCTAGACCCGAGTGGGAACTCAAATTTAACATGAGACGCAGTCAACACCACACACCAACTGAGGGGCCATTTCGTGTTATCAGTGTAATGCAGAAAGGCCATAGCATAAATGTCTCCAAATTGCAGGCTTCGTGAAGGGAGCTCAAACAGCCAAGAGCCATTTGGTTAGAAACGCAGTAACAAAACAAGTGGCAATTATTTACCTCTGGCACAGAGAGGAAATTACGATTATGAAATCAGGGGGGGTGGGGAACATCAGCAACCAACTTTACAGGCTGCCACGGCTCCTGTGGATGGACAGTGAAGTTAAAAATACCCAAGGGCACCCGGGTCCAACAGGGAGGGGGGGGGGGAAACCCTATTTTACCCAGTACAAAGGAAACTACACTTCATTGTTACAGTCAATTGACTTGACAGATAACGCATAGCAAATACCATGGCTTGTCTAAACAAAAGTTGTATTGCTTTAATTATAATTACAGTATTATTAGTTCACTAATACAGGCATAATTAGACAGCACAAAGCTTCCTACACAGGAATTATCTTCAAGCAGCACCTACAAAAACATTATTTTGTTCTTGTCAGGACTCCCACTAGCTTAATATTTTATAAAAAAACCCCACCAACAATAAAATCTAGCCAATGCAATTTCCTGGCGAAGCCTGAGGGTTTAGTCCATACTCCAAATTCCTCTGCCACCTAAAAACTGAACCGTACGCAACACAGCTCCCCACATGAAAGGTAAGGTGTACCTGCTGAGAAAAATCCTCACTGCTGCCATGAGGAAAACAAATAAATACTAATTTTAAAAGCACGCTCGATTTTTATTTAGTTTTATGTGCCATTTGTTTTTGGAATTTCAGCCATACCCTCCTTGAGGAAACAACTACTTTCTTTGGACTCTTACTAATAACTACTTTCATTCAGGATCTAAATCAGAAAGACAACGTCACTCTAATCCCAGGGCCCACAAGCAATCAAAGCGGTAAGTTCTGCCTGTGGGGAGGTGGAGAGGGAAGGCACCCTGGCATCACCAGGGATGCTTCGATTTGACCACCACAGCCACAGTTCTCACTCTGCCGAGATGAGAGTTTTGCTCAGACTATTTATTCTTCCAGAAATTAGATCTAGGGCTTTCCTCAGAGCAGTGATCCCGTCACATGCAGCCTCAGTAACTCTTTGATGATCTTTCAAGCAATTTTGGGGAGATCAATACAGAAATAATTGCTAAATCTCAAAAGACCTGCCCTGCCCTCCAAAATGAAATACAAGTACACCGGTTTCCCTCCCAGGTCATGGTGCCATTCTGCACTTGAACAGTTTCCACGCCAAAACTACACTTCAATAGATCTATACAGATGGTGACTTCTCACCCTGAGCAGAAAGGCATTTCTTGAATTTCTGCCTAGAAATTAAAGCAAAGGATTACCAAGCAGACTGTACCTGCTTCTGCTCTCTCGCTAGTTTGCGGCATGACCTAATACAGCTTCAGCCTTCTAGACGCAGACGGCAACTTAGTATGAACACCCCCCCAGTTTATCTCCTTTTTAATGCAGCCCCATCAATCTGTTCTCCAAACCGGTTTTGCTGCAGCTGTACCTAAATATGATTCTCTGGCAAATAAAGACGGGTCCTTTGTGTACCCCTGGCCAAGGATGTCTCCTGCTCAGCATACTAATGCCTCAGCACGACGGCCTGGGAAACATCCAGAAGCGGGCGGCGAGGTTGCCTTTCCAGGCCCCAACTGCTATACACGGTTGCCTGTGGAGATCCTCTCAAGTGGGAAAGCACGAGACCAAACAAATCCATGGCACGTCTGTCAAATTTGAAGCCTTTTATCTGCACCACCCTGTGCCGAACCTGGTCTATGTAGGCAGCTCCGTTTTCGAAGTCTTTACTGTTAAATTTACCCCAGGAAAAAGTGGCTATAAAAAAAACCAGCCTCACTGATGATCTGCAGCTCCTCCGCGAGCAGCTGTCTCTCTGTAAATGATGGGGCAGAGACACTCTAAGACCAGCGCTTCCCAACACACCCACAGCCTGTACGAAGGTGGCTGCATGCCGGAGGAAGGCCACTGGCACAGCAAGCCATCCTTTACCTTATGGGTAAAGCCACCAGCGCTTATATTTAGCCAGACAAAAAAAATCAAATGTGGTCTAGAGGCGGCAAAAATGAGGCTGAGGGGAGACCTTATCGTTCTCTACAGCTACCTGAGAGGAGGTTGTAGCGAGGGGGGTGGTGGTGTCAATCTCTTCTCCTGAAGGATAGGCGATAGGACAAGAAGAAATGGCCTCAAGTTGCACCAGGGGAGGTTTAGGATGGATATTAGGAGAAATATTTTCACCAAAAGGGTTGTCAAGCCCTGGCACAGGCTGCCCAGGGCAGTGGTGGAGTCGCCATCCCTGGAGGTGTTTAGGAGACGGGCAGACGTGGTGCTGAGGGACATGGTTTAGTGGTGGTTTTTAGGCACTGTCGGGTTGATGGTTCGACTCGATGATCTTAAAAGGTCCCTTCCAACCTAGACGATTGTGTGATTCTACGACCGTGTGTGAAGTTTGGCACAGGACCCGCTCAAGGTCACCGGGCAGATGAGGAGTTGTGCAGACAACCAGCCTTCCCCAGCACCCCGGTTTCACGTCGCGGGCACGTCTCCCCCTGCTCTCTCCCCC